ACCGGACTTTATGAAACAGAATTTTTGGCTAATTATACTAGTGAAGCTCTAATTACTGAGAGCGTCAACATCTGGCATCGGAGACTAGGGCATGTATTCGACGTACCTCGTCTAGCGAAAATGGTAAATGGCATCGAAATTAAGGGGGGACATTCGAACAAATTTTGCGAAATCTGTACAAAAGCCAAAATGACTCGAAAACCGTTTGGAAACAACAGAATTAAAGCTAAATTCCCTTTAGAAATTATTCACACAGACATTTGCGGTCCTATTGAAGTTCCAACTTGGGACAACAAGAAATATTTTATTACTTTTTTAGATGAGTTTACGCATTTCTGTGTCGTTTACTTGATTACCTTCAAAAGTGAATGCCTTGATAAAATTAAAGAATTTGTGTATTTGGCTGAAAATCATTTTAATAAAAAAGTTAAGAAAATTAGATGCGATAATGGGGGTGAAAACTCGAGCAATAGCCTACGTGTGTGGTGTAAGTCAAAAGGGATAGTGCTGGATGTAACAATACCTTACACGCCTCAACTGAATGGAAAAGCGGAAAGATTAAATAGAACGCTGATGGAGCGCACAAGAGCTCTAATTTTTGACGGCAGGGTTCCAAACTATTTGTGGGGTGAAGCATTACTAACAGCTAGCTATCTCATCAACAGAAGTCCAACAGAGGGGCGAGACAAGACGCCTGCAGAAATGTGGTTCAATATAAAACCCGATTTATCGAACATCAGAAGATTTGGATCTACAGCTTATTTTAAAACAAATTTTGGATTACGAAAACTTGATGAAAGATGCAGCAAAGGAATACTCATCGGCTATGTTAGAAACGGCTATAAAATTTGTATGGATATTGAGAAACGAATAATAAGAGCAAGGGATGTAAAAATAAATGAAGAAGAACAAGGTATATATTTAGATGATGAAGAAAATATGTTTAAAATAAATGGACTCTGGCAGATGGATGAAAATGATCAAACAGAAAAAGATGAAATAAGTCAAAATTCAACAGAAAGCAATGAAGGGCGTCGAGGAGTTGAAGATAGGAGTGGTAGAATTTCTAGAGAAACAAATAATAGTCAAACAAGTGAAGATAGAAGAAAATATGGAGAAACAAATGACAATCGAAAAAATGAAGAGAGAACAAATGATGGTCGAATAAATGAAGTAAATAGAAAAAATGTGAATAATGGCAATAGTTTTGAAAGTGGTTTTATTTTTGATAACGTTATACAACATGAAGAAAATGAAGAAGTTTTTGATAATGAACAAATGGAAGAAAATTGGAGTCGAGAGGTAGTAAATATTGAAGAAAATCAAAGTCGAAAGAATGTAGAGACTGAAGCAGATAATAGAAAAAGTTGTGAAGAAATTGAGGGAAGTCGAGCGGTGGAAAATAATAGTAGAAGAAAACAACCTGAAAGAGATAGAAGATTACCAAAAAGATACAAAGATTATATAATGGAATATGGAATGGAAATGTCTATGTTAACGTATGAGGAGGCTTTAGAATCAAGAGAAAAAGATAAATGGAAAAAAGCAATAGAGGAAGAAATCAAGTCTTTGGAAGACAATAATACGTGGACATTCGTCGATAAAAAAGAAGCAGAAGGAAGAAAATTAGTAACAAGCAAATGGATTTTTACGGTGAAACCGGATGGTAGATACAAAGCAAGATTAGTCGCAAGAGGATTTCAACAAAAATATAAAATAGATTATGATGAAACATATAGTCCTGTTGTAAACACAAATTCCCTGAGAGTACTTTTGTCAATTGTTGCAAATAAAAAATTAAAAATGAAACAATTTGATATTAAAACAGCCTTTTTAAATGGAGATTTGAAGGAATGTATTTATTTTAAAGTTCCAAAAGGTTATAACAATAAAGAAGATAAAGTATGCAAACTGAATAAGAGTTTATATGGGTTTAAACAAGCTCCATTAATGTGGAACATTAAATTTACAGAATTCTTACTTAAAATGGGGTTTAAACAATTAAAGTTAGATCAGTGTATTTTTGTGATGGAAGGTAAAAGAAGAATAATTCTTGCGATATATGTTGATGACGGTTTAGTAGTTGGAGAGAAAGAAGAAGATCTGTTGCATATAGTGGAAACGTTGAGAAAAGGATTTGATCTAAGAATCTGCGAAGAAGTATCAAACTATATCGGGCTGGAAATAAAACAAGAAGAGAAAGGAGTAAAAATTTGTCAAGAAATGTATATCGAAAAACTTTTGAAGAGATTTAATCTTAATAGAACAACATCCTAAAGTGAAAGTAGATACAGAGAGTCATGAACTATACAGGGAAATGATAGGATCATTGTTATATCTGGCCAACAAGACGAGGCCAGACATTAGCTTCCATGTAGGGTATTGCTCGCGCCAACAAAGTGCTCCAAATTTAAATGATTTAAATAATGCAAAAACTATTTTAAAATTTTTAAAAGGTTCGATAAAGAAAGGCATTCACTATGCTGAAGGTGATAAAGTGCTTCGTGGTTACTGTGATTCAGATTTCGCGGGGGATCCAGACACTAGACGTAGTACATCGGGTTATGTGATTTGGTTGAACGGTGGACCAGTGGCATGGAGTTCAAGAAAACAGCCGATTGTAGCTTTATCGAGTACGGAAGCAGAATTTATAGCCGCAGCAGAATGTTGCAAAGAACTTTTATTTATTAGAGATTTGATATTTGAAATGACCAATGAAAAATTAGAAATAGAAATGAAAGTGGACAACCAGTCAGCTATTTGGCTTATGAAGAAAGGTATTATGAATAAAAGAAGCAAACACATAGACGTAAGATACTACTATCTAAAAGATCAGATTGAAAACAACAAAATATCGGTTAAATATTGTCCAACGGGTTCACAGTTAGCAGATATACTTACTAAGTGTTTGCCACCAGTGAAGTTTGAGAGGTGTCAAAGAAAACTCGTATCAGAGTGATGTTAGGTAGTGTTAAGTGTGGGCAAAAGTGAACTAAGTACGTTTTCGGTTAATATGTGGGGTATTAGAATATAAGTTTTTATAGGGGTGTGTAATATTCGTAGAAGTGATATAAAGGCGTGATGTAAACTTAAGGTTCCTATTCAATTCATAGTCAGTTAAAATATTAAGGGGGTGCGTATATTAAGGAAGTTTTTTTTTTCTTGGTTAATAATGATTCATTTAAGGGGTGAGAAATTAATGAAGTTTTAAAATATTTTTTAAGAAAATAAATGAATCATTATATAATGGCAATAGAAGAGTTACAAACTAATTCTTTAAAAAAATTTACAAATATTTGGAGAGTATTGGCCTTAAGTTTTGTAATCATGTTTGTTTGTATTATTTATTATGTTTGTTATTATTAATATTTTTTAAAAACTAATGCATTTGATAGAGTTGATATAGAATATGAGTTTAAATTATGTTAGTAAAGATTTTCTGTATTGTCGCAATGAGGTAGTAGGGCAGGTAGTGTATTTAATTATTTTTTGTATTGAAAGAAGGTTTTTATAATTAAGTGGGTTCGAGTAGGAGTTAATTGTTTGAGGTTTTTTATGATAAATGGGATCGAGTAGGAGTTAATTGTTTGAAGTGTTTATGGTAAGTGGGATCGAGTAGAAGTTAATTGTTTGAAGTTTTTTATGATAAAGTAAGTCGAGTAGGAAATGAGTTAGGTAAATGATTTTATATAGCTGAAGTTTTGTCGAGAAGAAGATATGAAAGTTTGTTTTAAGATGTTAGGTTTAGAGACAGTTAGGGATTTATATATGTGAAATGTAAAGGGATATATAGGAGTTAATAGAGATTAGGTAAAATGGATCTGAGAGATAGGGAATAAGAAATGTATGTATATCTACGGTAGTTTTGGTAGTCGTTCTAAATTAATATTTGTAATGGCAGGTAGAAGTCTAAGTTAGGACAGTCAGCATGTGCAACAGATTGAGGGGGTGTGTTGAGGGAGACCTCCTTCTTGGTTTAAGATCTTTTTAATTTTAATTTAAATATTGACAATCTGTTCTGCACATGCGCGTCTATTGTTTATATATATTAATGTCTCTCTTCGTAAAGCTGTTGTCGGTGCTGTTTATGTTTTTATAAAGTACATATATATAATTTTGGTGGTAAATAAACTCATGTGATCTAAAAGCTCCCTGGTCTTTCTCTATACCCGTTTTACCATCGGGTATCAGACTTTACAGAATTCAGAAGGTAAGAGTGGTATTTTTAAAAACACAGTTTAATTTATAAATACGTTAAAAATTTTGTGAATTTTATTTTATGGGCCGTTGGACGTGCTCATAGACTGACCTTCTTTATGCGTCTTTGTCGTATGTTGTCATAAAGAATAGGGTATTCTACTCCGTTTGAAATAATGATTTTAACTGTTAATTTAAATTTAAAGGATCCATAAAATAAATATTTCGGTAAAAAATACACGTTTTCTTGCTTTAAAATTAAATTAAAATTGTCGTCACAGTGACGTCAATGGCGGGACGTGTTTCAAGTCACGTGATACACAGATAAAGAATTACGACTTAATATTAAGATAATATTAATAATAATCGTGCGATTTTAAGACTCATAATTAGAATCTCTATATTTATAACTATGTAAATTTTAGTTTTTGTGCAATTTCGTGACTTATTTTGCATCACCGAAACTACCCTATTAGTCTAGGGGTGCTGTAGAAACAAACAGTGATCAGTAGAAAAGGAGAAAGATCAATGAGGAAGTATTTAAAAAAAATATTAGTTCCCGAAATCAAACTAGATGTCGCTACGATACGTTCTTGATTTCTCCATGACAACCCTTCCGGTTTTCTTTTAAAAAGTAAACTAGTTTTCAAAACTCAATAAACAACTCATATTCTATTTGTACTTTTTCGTATTTATATTGATATCTAACTTTCGAACTTTTCAAATTTCAGTTTTTAATATGTTAGGTAAAAGGAACGGAAATGACTGTCTTTGGTCCATTCGTTTGCTGCAAAAGTCAACTTTTGCTAGAGTCGCTATCTAGTGGAGGTGCTTTTTAGTGGTTTCTTTTTTTTAAATACTTCCTCATTGTTTATATAAATTTTTGGTGGCATTCGAGGATTCTTGTGAAAGATCAATTTGCACCATCGGATCGAATTTTTAAAATTTCTAAAGATGTTACAGAGTCATAAATATCTCTATTAATTATATAATAAAAAACTAGACCTACATAAAGTTGGCGTGCGAGCTCTGCTATTTCTTCATCATCAGATGATACTGGTTCAAACCATATCACATTATTTGCTAATGACACCTTCCCTGTACCAACAAAAAATATAAAGAATATAATTTATCGCTCGTAATTCATCAATGAATATAATTTATTCAATACATAACATTATTAGCAGTAAGTCTTATCTAAAACAATATTATAAAGATAACCGTACCATGGTGCTTCCTTTTGAATTCATTTTCATAAATTCTATACGCCTTCGCATGCGCCAGAACCACATTCTTTGTACAGAGGTATGACGCAATTTCATTTTCTCCTATATTCGGAGCAAGACTTAAATTACCATGGCTTAAGTCGCATATAATAATAGGTTCATTTATAGTGATCCAGCTTTTTACACGATCCGAATATAGTGAGAAGACAACCCTGGAGTATTCGGCGAACCAGTCTATTATAAGAGGATTCAACCAACCACCTAGATATTTGATCAAAAGATTAATAATAATGTTATGATATTAAATGCTTCACCGACAGCCACGGATCTACGATTTTTTTAACGGGGGGTGAAACTTCGTAGGGCGACCTCCCTCTACTCTCCTCCAAGCTCCGTGATAATGGATTTTTTTTTGCATATTCTTCTTTTATATCATTTAGGCATTTTGAAGCATTTTCGCTCCATTTTAACCTATGCTATATTAAGAGATTTATAAAGTTCATTCTTCTTTTATAATGATAATTTTGGCGCTGGGAAAAGTGTTCCCACTTGCCGCCCTCCTCCCTCCCTGTCCATCGATTGAGTGCAGGACCTTAAACTACTACTCGTAGATACTTTGAAACAGTCTTTATGTTATTTAGTTCGTGAATCTTACCTAGATCTTGTAATGATTGTGGCAAGTCCCAATGATAGATAGTTATCATAGGTTTAATACCTTTCTCAAGTAATCGATTAATTAGAGAATTATAATAGTTCTTCCCATCGTCACTTATATAGTTCGAAAAACCGGTAGGCAAGAGTCTTGGCCATGATATTGAAAATCTAAAACCAAACTTTTAGATTTCGTATAATAACCAAAAATCAAATGGTCATCCAAAGCAAAATCGAATTAACATTTTCAATAGATAGATTAGATCAAACTTCCTAAATAATAGTTACACATACACTCTGAATTGAGAATTTAATGTCAAGCTCGGCTCAAACCGTACTTTAACCATCACTTTACAGATATTAGTTTCTGATTTTATTTTCTAATAATAAGTGTTGTTCTGGTATCAACACTATTTTTACTATAGTATTTAGTACTTATAACAGGATTTATAAGTCAGAAAAGTTATAATTTACTATCAGCCAAAGTATACTTTTAATTGCGATTGCAGTACATTTACTGGAAAGTTGCACAAACCACTAGATTGAATTCCATCGTACACGGGTACTTTCCGCGGATCGCCATTTTTATTTGCGGATTGTGCGTGAGACGATTGAAATTAAAAACATCCCAGCAATTTCAATCGTGAAGATGGTTTGAAACAAGGCAGTATTTTAAGAAAAAAAAGAAAGTACTAAAAAGCACCTCACTAGATGGCGACTCTACCAAAAGCAGATTTTTACAGGAAACGAATGGACCAAAGATAGTCATTTTCGTTCCTTTTAACTAACATAATTAAAAAACTGAAATTTGCAAAGTTAAAACTGTAATTTCGAAACTTAGATACCAATACAAATACGAAAAGAAGAACAAATGGAAAATTAATTTACTTTTAGACATGAAAGAAAATCGGAAGGGTTGTCATGTAGAAATCAAGAAAGTGCCGTCGCGACATCTAGTTTGATTTCGGGCACTATTTTTTTAAAATACTTCCTCACTGTCAACAACTTGGAATCCAGTGATAAAAACCTTTTCGCGTTTGCCGGACTACCTTAATATGGCTGCGATACAGAATAGCGATTCTGTTAGTGTTGTGTGTGATGGTACCTGGGGAAAAACTGGACGATAGAAGTGGACTCCACTTTAGAAGAGGAGACAGAGCATCGCAGAAACAGTTAGCTTGTGACCACGGTCGGTGTAAACCGGTCGAAAAGTCGAGAAATATAGGAAGATGAAAAACCTATCAATGGATCTCGTTAATATTCGTTTCATACAATCTAATGTATTTCTATTGCCGTTATAATAACAAATAGTAAATCATCCAAAAAAAAATTTGAGATAGGTGCCATCCTAGTCATTGTAGGAAGTAAGTAAACGCATGATATTTTTCAATTAAATATTTGGCACTGACCTCAAAAAAATCGTTAGTGTACCCACTTTTTACGTTTCGATTTTATTGAAGATTTAAATTTATGTAATATTTACCTTTTTTAGTTATCACTTTCTCGTTATCACTATTTCTTATTTTACTTAATTATGTTTTTCAAATTAAATAAAAAGTCACAGTTATTTTAATTTAATCTTTTATTTAGTCATACCGAATTATTCTACCTAAGCTAGGCATTTATAATACTGGGAGCAACAAAATGACCGACACAGCCGAAAGTTTCAAGTTAGGTTATATGCAAACGTTCATTTTATTTGACAAATATTTCAAAATAGAGGAGGTGTAAAAATGGAGTAAAAATTTTAAATTTCTAAGTGTTGAGAGCCATATAACGCGCATGCGCAATATCGATTGTGCGCAGATAACAACGGACCCCAAAATACATTAATTTAATTTAATTATTTACCGATATCTTAATGATAGTCGATGCTGAAAATGTCCAATTCTTCTCTGAAGACAGTTAAGCACGCTCTTTTGCATGCACGCGCAAAACACATCACATTTCACACAAAACTAAACACAATCTTTACTAAACTAAACTTAACACTCAAGACGAACACTGTAGTATCTTATTAACAAAAGTTTAATTAAAAATACACTAGAACAAAACAAAAATCGACAAAAAGTCGCTTCGCAGAGATACGGTAATGTAACGTGCCTCACTCGCAAATGTCCGGTGGTGACTGAAACAAAGGCGCCGACGCCGACGGAACAAAAAAGCCGCGCGCACGGCGAGTGAATGGAGCGATTGGAACGATTCGCTTTGCCTTCGAAAACCAGGGATGAATTCAGTTTATCTATTTTTCGAATTCGTATTTTGTTATCACGCAATTGTTTTTGAATTTTTCTTTTTAAATACATTTTAAATAAGTTACCAAACCCTAACTTAGTGTTTTAACATAAAGTACATTTGTGATAATGGTTCATTATTATCACAAATGTACTTTATGTTAATGGATGATGTATTAGTTTAACTACTTTAATAAATGATCGTGTTATTTGATCCATTTAGTTACAATTTATTGGAAACTCTTACTATTTGAAATAATGTAGTAACGTAATGTAAATTAGTTAACATTAGAATAATCTTTTTACAATAATTTATTAAATGTTGGTCTATTAATTAATTTCAGCATTTTGACTGATTCGTTTAGTGATAGTCAGATTGAAATAGTTAAAAAACAGTTAACTAACATCACTTAGTTTTCGTTTGCGATTTTAGTTTTTTGATGATCAGTTGATAGCAGTTTGATAAATCTAGGACTATTTGACTTGTGAAATTAAAAAAAAAAAGTAGTTTATTGAAAATAAGCAGTAGATATTTTCTACTTTTTTCAAATCAGAAACCGGCTGTTAGTATGTTAATCGATTTAAGCATTTTGACTTCCTTGTTTAGTGATTGTCTGGTAGAATTTGCATGAAAGCGGTCTTATAAATCAAAAACTAGTTTATTTCGTTTTTAGAAATGAAGAAGTCAATGACCGATTAAAAACTTGTTCCTTAGTACGTCCCAAAAACAGCTGACTCAGGGTTGAAAACACTATTTTTTTCCAAAAACTTTGTAATTTAATATCTCCGAAACTATTTGACCTAGACATATAATTTTATTTTTTACATCATATTAAAGACAAATAGTACTCTCCAGGAACATCGGGAGTGTCGGTCGTTCTGTTCCACCTAGTGTAAACGAAATTTTCTGTTATGTTATGACCCTTGCCCTTATGACTTTGCTCTTAGTTTGGCCTCTGCTCATCTTGATGCACTACATAACGTCAATACTGATTTTGATTTTTCTTTTCACGATTGGAGAAATATCAAAGGGTATTCAAAGATAAAAAAGAGAAATATTGACATACAGTGAGAATGTAAGGGACCAATGAAGTAACCGATAATTCCGATAACGAAAATAGCAAATAATGTACTTTATAATAGCAAATAATTATCATAAAAAGTCGCGGGAAAACAGTTAGTGTAATTTTAATTTCATTACAAGAAAAGTCTCACATAAGGATAATGTTATTGTTACCGTATTCGATAGGGACAAATAGCTTCTGTATTTGATATCTCGCTCGGGTCGCTTTTCAGCTGTGAGTATTCTATACTGTTATAAGTACTAAATACATGGTAAAACGTAAAAAAACTTAGGTTATTGAGAACATTTGTAAGTTTTAATATTTTATGTTATTATAATAGATTAAAAGTTACCTATATGATAAATAAAACAATGTCGAAAGCGACCTCTTGGCTTTATATGAAACATATGCATATATACCGATAGAAGTTTGCGCCAATATCTGCGACCATATCGACGTCAGTCTGCCACTTATGGTAAGAGTCACATGCCACATCACCATTGTCTTTGTTTAAAATTAAGTGCGGATACGTGTGGGTAAATCTGTCCCAGATGCTTTCTCCTTTATCTGCATCAGAGACGAAAAGACATCGAATTGCTGAACTTTATACAATCACAATTGGGGGTGCCAACGAAATCTTAAAAACATAAATTTAAAGAGGGATCTTTATAATTCATTATTAATATTATCGTTTACCATTTTAAGATTATGTAAATTTTCATTTTTTCTTGGGGAGCTTATGGGGATTTTAATGTTCCAAACATTTATAAGGAAAAATTCGAGTCTGTAAAATTTAGAATATTATTCGTTTCGAGATTCTTGACTAAGTTACACTTCATCATCATCAACCCTCCCCACGTCCGCACTCAGGGGTCAGGCCTTCCTTATATATGGTTTTGGAGGATGGGCCATGACCCTCCACGCTGGACCATGAGGATTGGAAGGTATTAACGACTGCAAATGTAGCCAGGACCAATGGTTTAACATATCTTCCAAAGCTCGGAATAATTGGAGATAATAATTTTTTGGTCATTTATCCCTTGACCAACTCTTGCGAAAGATGCTTCACAACGATGATCGCGGGTTGCGGCGCTTATCTACTACGCTACACTTAGGTAGCTAATAATAAAAAAGAAGTATTAAGTAGTAATTCCTTACCGCTAGCATTCCAGCCTCCTTCAATTTGGTATGCTGCAGAACCGACTCCAAATTCGAACCCTGGTGGAAAGTCATGAGCAGTTTCGCATGTAACCGCAAAGAGCACTAGGCTGTAAGTATGTGTTTTACTTATTATTATTATTATGTTTAAATGTTTCTTTTGTGATACTATATATGACTAAAAACTGTCCAACACACAGATTATAGGCAGGTACTTTTTGTAAGTCTCGATTCATGAGAGGTTCACAATCTATTCACACGAATTGCAATTCATCTTTACTGATTATGCCACTATGTTTACTGCGTTATCTAGTAATAAAGTGCAAATTCGTATGGAGGTTGATTAGTATTAATCTAATGGCTATTGTAACCTTATGATATGTACATACACATGGGGTCAGTTGTACAAACGTTCATTAAGGCTTAAAGACGCCTTTAAACTTTAACGAATGTCAAATTTTAAACTTATAAAAATTCATTGGCGTTTGTGCAACTGGCTGATAGACTATAATTTTTTTTTAATTCTTTTTAAACTCACCTGCAAATGGTTGACATAAACATCGACATGATGACAACTAAATAAAAAACAAAGAGATAGCTTTATTTTTTCACTGTGGCGCATGGTGGTTTTATTTATGTGAAATGACTGTAAAGAAACCTAGAATTGCAGATAAATGGTTCCTACAATAGCATAAATATTTTTTTATTTACAAAATAAAAGAAAAATATCTCACTTTCATTTTAGTACAATCAACCGCGAAATAAATCCTGATTCTGTTAGGTATATGCATAAATTACAACAAGGAAGTATTTTAAGAAAAAAATAGATCACTAAACAGTAAGATGGTGACTCTACAAAAAGTTGATTTTTGCAGGAAACGAATGGACCAAAGATGGTTATTTTCGTTCCTTTTAATTAATATATTAAAAAACTGAAATTTGCAAAGTTCGAAACTTATACATCAATACAAATACGAAAAAGGAAGGTTTCTTGTTGAATTTTTATTAAGATAATTTAATTATGAATATAAGATTTAATAACTACCTCTTTGTTTAAAAAAACATTTAAAAAAGTTATCTTGTACGAGTACCTAGTATATTTGATACATATCGGGTAAGTATATAGATAATAAATGGATTTTTATTATAATCATTGTTTTCTATGATCTTTGTTACTGATTAATAAACACTATTAATTTATTGATCATAAACCCTATTGATGTAGTTTTGTTGCTCTAAGTTCAACTAACAACTAAGAGCAACAAAACTAACTTATGTTATTTTTTCAGAACTTTTGTGAAATATTATAATAAACCTGTTATAGTTTATATTTTATTTATAAAAACTATTTCACGGTAGTAATCCCGTAGCTAAATGCTACTTTTGATAATTTCACAGCATTAACTCTATTGATTTCAATAACTTTTAAAAACCTTCTCTATGCTCACTTCCATTAAATTTATACAAATAAGAAATAAATTTATACAAAGATTAGTTCATATTAATCTAGTTGCGTTTGCGTAACACGAACCATTAATCCGACTTATCAGATCCATAACAACACAGACATTTCTATTATTTTTGGTCTAAACATCTGAAGTCATGAATTGACACATTTAGATCTTACAATTTGTGCTGCCATTAATGGGCAACGCCATTAATTAAAAAGAAGAGGACGACATATTTTTTTTAGAATTTCTTTATTTTTTTAAATTGATACCGCGGACAAAACACATCGTACGCTGACCCCGATTTATTGTTATTTTGATAATATATAGCAAAAATGTGTGTTTTTTGTTGAAAGAAATACTTAAAAAAGATAAAAAACAAAGAAAAAATGGTAGAAATTGAAGGTTCATTGAAAAAAAAACAATTTAAGAAAAAAATAGTTAAATTTTGACGACATGTCAAAAGTAAATCGTCATTGTGGATATTGTGTTTAAAAAAATACATTTTGAAATAGATAAGATGTTAAACAATATATCTGAAAATTGTAGATACTTTAAAAAACCCGAAGTTAATCCGTGCAATATTGTTAACAATAGAAGTGAAAAAGTATAAAGGGAGCGGCCGGAGGCTCTTGAAGCAAAAAAAATATTGTTCTTATGTGTATGTGTATATTGAAATATTTAAGTGTAATATAAATAAAAAACAATTTTATATAAAATATAATAATAGGTACATCAATTATCATACGTAATGTATCACAAAAATAATACATCGTCATATTTTTTAAATCTTCATATCGCTTTTATTATTATAATAATATCTTAGCTTAGATTTTATCTTTTTTATATTATTAACGTATAAAGGAAGGCAAATTACTCTTTCTATTTTGGATTTCAACATCCAAAGAATCAATACTGCCTTCTTAATGTCATTTATTTTCAGTTTCTTTTTTTTTATTAATTAGTCGGTACAAAAATCTATATGGATCTGATTATTCAGATGGACATCTTTATTCTGTAGTCGAAACTTTCAACGCTGCTGCTCAATGAAGAAGTATTTAAAAAAATAGTTCCCGAAATCAAACTAGATGTCGCTACGGTACATTCTTGACAACCTTTCCTGTTTTCTTTCATGTTTAAAAGTAAATTTGTTTTCAAAATTCAATAAATAACTCATATTCTGTTTGTACTTTTTCGTATTTGTATTGATATCTGAGTTTCGAACTTTTCAAATTTCAGTTTTTTAATAGAGTCTGGCAAGCGAAACGTGTCACAAGAAAAGGGCGGCAATTTCAAAAATTCTTAAGCAGTAAACACTGAATGTAGTACTGCAAAATAATTTTGATACTTTTATTAATTATATTTAATCTTAACATTTAGATATCAATTAAAATTATTTGTTTTGGAACATTTGACTAAAGCGTGACTGTTCTTAATTGTACAGTTAACAGCATATCAGTAGGCCTATTCACTAACTCAACTGACAACCAAGAATCGTCATCACCGTAAAAAATAGACACTTTGATTGTGTCAAAATCACTATTTCGTATTCTCTATCAATGATGAGCAATTTCGAAATGTCAATATCGGCATTCTCCACTGGACTCCATTTTGACACTTGATTTCGTATCGATAAACTGTATTAAAGTAACATTGTTGCAAAGCATATTTGAAGTCGTCGCATAGTACCTCTTAAGCCATTTGTTGTTAAATTAAAGCGAAAAAAAATACGTATCCAATATTTTTCTATTATCTGACTGACGGACTAAATCGAATCTTTTTTTTAACCCATTCGTTATACCTATTGGCTAACAGCACTTATAATATTAAAAATTCATATTTGTCATTAATTAAAAGGGTGTTTTTTGCAACGACTTCTTTGTTTTTTTGTAATGAATATGGGCGACTCTGGCCACATTTTTTTAATAAATGTGATGTTAGCCAATTTTGATTTCTGGCCCTTATATTTATAATGTGTTCATAACACATACATGTCTCCTAAGGGATTTTCATCACAACCTTTTGCTCTGATCCAGAACCACTATCTATCAAATTAAATTAGTCAATATAAACACCAGATTACAATAAAAAAAACATTTATTTTTGTTACAATTAAGTGCCATGGATAAATTACATAATACAGGTGTCACAAAATCATCATGTTAATCACAATAGAAAATTTAAGATAAGATTTTGACTATGAATCAGACTAAAAATACTTTAGTCTGATTCATAGTCAAAATCTGTTTCTAAATATTCTACACCTGATAACAATGACAAGGAATCATCAGAGTCACTCTCTTCACTACTGTCTGCACCAACAGATATAATAAATTTTTCAAGTTCGTTTTCAACAATGCCATCTTTTAATTTGTAATCATTTTCGACATTTAAAACATGATCAGTGTATTTCTTCCAGTCACTAGGGGTAATTAAGTTAAAACACTCTATTATTAAGTTTTCCATTTCCTTTCCTGGTATTCCAATGTTTCTGCTTGCAATTTTTCTTTTTGCTTGACTCCAAACCATCTCTATTGGGTTTAAGTCACAATGATACGGTGGCAGCAATAAAAGTTCATGATTATGTTCTTTTAAAATCTCTTCAGCTTCATATACAGGCAATGTTTTCTTATCATTAACCAAACACATTAACTCTGCCTTTGTCTGATATTCCTCAAAATGTATTCCATTATTTACAAGCCATTTACGGATATCTGCTTTGGTATTAGACATTATAGGCGGTTTATTGATTTGTTTTATATGGTAGCTGGCATTATCCATAACAATTACACTGGGCTTACTTAAATTTGGTATTAATTTTTCTCTGACCCATTTCATAAAGTTCGATGAGTTCATATCATCATGATAATCAGCAGATTTGGATTTACTACTGAACACTAATAATGCACCAGGCACAAAACCTTCCTCAGATCCAGCATGCACAACAATATGCCGTTTTCCAGAGGATATCTTTGTAGTGACACCAGTTGTTGAAGGTCCTTGCCAAGACTTTTTAACTTTATAATTCTGATGTACATAAGTTTCATCAAGGTACACAATTTGCTTTCCTTCGTTTCGTTTTATATTTATTTCTCTCAAATACTTGTGCCTCCATGCAGAAATCTGGTATTTTTCTATAAGCATAGAACGTTCATTTTCATTGCTTTTAAAAGAAAATCCATTCTTAAGCATAATTTTTCGTAAAGTCTCACGGCTACCACTGAATCCTATTGCATCTTTTAATTCATTGTGAAGGCTTCTTAATGTTGGAACAATTTTTTTCACACAGTAAAATTCATTTACTTTATTCCGAATTGCACTTAAATCAAAATTATCTAAAGCAGACACTGTTGGTTGATGAGGTCGTTTTTTCCCAGGAGTGTCCCATTTTCCTTTATTAATTAATGCTTCATTTTTTATCCTTCTTAGTGTCCTTATACTTACATCTATAAAAGATTAAACACTTTGAAACAAAGATATGTTAAATGTATTTAAAAGCAAATAATGATAGACACATACATCAAAATAATTTAAATACCTATTCAACTATGAATGCAATTTATGTTTAATTTAGTTAAGTTTATGTGCATATTTAGCATGTATAACAATTACATGGTTTGATTAGTTTCATGAATTCTGTGAATTTCCTTGTTAAACAAAACATTCTTATGACATCATTGGATGTCAACAATAAAAACCAATACATCATAAAAAACCTATTTAAACATAAAATATTTACATATTATAGGAATACTATCAATCTATCTTAAATCAAAACAAGAAAAGAGACCTGTCATTGAAGAAATTTTTTGTAAGTACTGCGTTTCCGAATTCAGCATTTCTTGTTTTTCTAAAGTTTTTATTGCATTTATCTCCTCCATTATTGGTTGAATATCACCATCACAGTTATCTGAAATAGAGCAATATTTTATAAAAAATATCTGTTTAGTTAATTACAGAAAATTAAAACGAAAGTATCAAAATTATAATACAAAACTAACCTAAAAAAGATACAACTTTATCTAATCGTTGTAATTTCTCCATGAAATTTTTATTTAATTCAGTTTTCACTTCAGTAAACTTGTCAATCATGATGGAAAGAAGTTTCCTCGATGAACTTTTTATCGGCTTCGACATAATTTTTAACCAAAAACACAAGTTCAAATTCGCAAAAACAACAAAATTCAATATTCTTGAATTGTCTAACGTAGTGTCAAACTGACAGTTCTATGTTGTTGCCATATGAAAACGGAAAAATAGGTGGTGTCACGTTTCGCTTGCCAAACTCTATGTCAGGTGAAGGACTGTCTTTGGTCCATTCGTTTCCTGGAAAAAAACTTTTGCTAGAGTCGCCATCTAGTGGAGGTGCTATTTAGTGCTCTCGTTTTTTTTTAAATACTATCTCATCCCGCAATCGATTAAAATATACACTCTTTGTAGACTTGATTGAGTCTTGTCAAGAAGGTCAAGATTTGGCTGTATGGCTTATTAGTTCCTTCGCCTGTTTCATAGACGAAACTACAACAACAACTACTACTACTACTTGTCAAGAAGAGTCTTGTTTTGTTTCTTGAATGTTTGTATTGTATGTGATTGAATTTATCTAATTGGAAATTGTTTCGATAATCCAAATAAAACTATCTGAGACGACTATATAATTTTTTTGTGATCTGTATCAACGTTTGTCGTTGTTCGTTATCGTTATTCATTATGACTAACCTAAATGTAAGTACCTTCATAGTAAAATTTGTCAAAAAATATCTATAGGCTTTAAAAACATTCGTTGGAATGTTTAAAAATAGCCATAGCTTTTAATCAGTGAATTTTATACCGTTGTATTTAAGGTAAACGACAGCACCACCGATAGTAGTTCAGGTTCTACTTCGGATTCTAGTAGCAGTGGAAGTTCCTCGACAAGCTCAGGGTCAGGATCAACTAGTTCTGATTCTGAATCCACAAATTCAGATACCCCACAAGCGGCTGCTCCTCCACCACCAAAGTCCCCAACAAAATCCATTGATGAAACAAAAAATAAAGAAGAACCTAAACAGCAGAGGCGTCCATCTAAAACTAACAAAGTATCCTCATCAAGTGATGATGACGCTCCAAAAGTTGTAGATCCTAAGCCTCTCCCACCAAGGAGACGTTGTTCAGCAAAGCCTAAATCAGCAGCTACAGTTCTTGCAAAAGGAAAACCGGCTCCTCGAGCACCAGTTGGAGCAAAAACACCTAAGCCAGCACCAAAAACAATCTCAAAGCCTAGTGCAAAATCAGATCAGAAAAAGAAAAGCATATTTTCACCTGATAACAGTTCAGAGTCAGACTCTGAAAGTAAGTCATCTAAAAGTCCTAAAGCTTCACCTAAACAAAAAAGGGGATCAAGAAAATCTAGTGATGAAAAAGAGGCTGCAGTAACTGGAACTGAAAATGAAGATAACAATAGTAAAGACAATGTAAAACGTAGGAGCAGCAACCGCTCCAGTGGCCCTCCACCAAAAAAACCGGTAGAAGAGAAACAAAGTGCATCATCATGCTCATCCAGTCAATCTTCAGTTGAATCCGTTTCTTCTGAAAGTGACAGTGAACCAACCCCAAAAAAAGAACCTGCATTAAAAACTGGCAAAACGAAACCACCTCCAAATGCTAGTAATAAAGTGAGTATGAAAAAAAACAATATAGTTCCCTACTTTTTTTTAACAAACTACCTTGGCACTGTCCTATACATTTCAATCAAATAAATACCTACCAAAAATTACATGAGTTGAAGCTTCAAATACTAAAGCAATAAAGCAATAACATCATATTTTATTTCACAGTTTCATGGGCCACATTAGAATCACAAACCCATTTTTTTTATATAAACTAATGAAAATAATATTTAAATAATAACAAAGATACATTAAACTATTTTATATAAATGTATTTTAAAATTTTAACACCATTTACAATGGTTGAATATTCTTGCACCAGCAGGAAATGCCTAGCAAAACAGAAGAGTCAGTTACATCTACAATGCCTAGAAAATTGACAAGATCACTATCAGCACGTGTTTCAAGGTTGGCAACTATCTCTAGACCCACGCATACAGACACCGAATCAGAAGCTGATGACAAGAATAATGAGAGCAAAAGGTAGGTGCAAATTTTAAACACAGACATGATAACATGCCACTACCACTCATGATCTAGCTATTAATGATTATTACAAGTACAAACTGACATAGAGGAAAAGAGATATAAAATGTTGTTTTGTATTCAAGTAGGGTTTAATTATGAGTCTATATTTTTGATTTTAAATTATTTCAATTTTGATTAATCTGTGATCAGATTATTATTTCTTATTCCACATTGTTGAAATTTACTATTTCAGTGTTAAAGATAATAAGAAAAATTTGAAAGGCCGTCCACCAGTAGTACGGTCTCCGGTCACTACTCTACCTCCACCAGAACCATCTGAAAGGTGTTGCACGGTGCGTGGGTGTGATTCAACAGGACATTTGGGTAAAAAACACATTAAAGATTACATTCATATTTTTTAATTTTTTGCATTTAAACAGATATTAAAGTTTTCATATTTTATTTAAATTATTTACTGTTAAATGGTAATTCAAATATTTTGAATTAATTTGTGTCAAATACGCCAAAATCTGGCTATTTTCCATTGTAATAAAGAAGTACATTAAAATTGAAAAAGCAATATTAGGAACTGAGCCTAACAATAAATGCTTTTATAAAATATTGGTTTGTAAAAAAATAATTATTTCACAGTTGTATGTTAAGAAATATTTTATAAAATCGTTTGAAATATAAGAGATGATTTAGATTTATATTGAATTGGTAAATTATGCAAATACAAGGCTGATAAGATTCACCAATTAATAAATCAATATATATTCTATCAAAATAAATAAAATTGTATAGAGTATATATTGTTTGTAATACGAAAATATTAGTTTTTTACTAAATACACGGTACATACACTCAAATAACATTTTTTACATTTTGTCTGTCTGTTTGTTTTGGCAAATTTCTGAAATGGCTGGACTGATTTTGACGGGACTTTCACTAGCAGATGCTTTTGTAATAAGGAGTAGCTTAGGCCTACTTTCCACATACACTTATAACTAATGATTGCTTTACAACTTCTCCTACACCACTAATTTAGTAAACTCACCAGATTCTGATATTTAATATGAAAATGGCAAAAACACATGCCATCTATTGTTTTGTATGAGATAATTGATATTAAATTTCTCTCTCAAAAAATGCAATTTTACAAACCACCTCTTTGTTCTTTAGTAGAAATAAACAAACTATTTAATTTAACGAAAACTATTAAAATATATAAATTACTTATCTTTATTATATGGCGGGAAAGTCGTGACTTTAACACCTTTTACAACAACATTTTTATTGAACCAAGATTTTACGATATGAACTAGATAAAAAAGTATGACATTGAACATAACATACATATAAATGTAATGTATAACAATATTAGCGATGGACGTTATTCGCGATAGACAGTTATTCAACTAGTGATCTGCCTGAATCGCGATCACTCGTGATTCAGTTATACAATAACTATCTATTTTCCATAACGTTCTAAAATTAAACCATATTCACTCGTATGTCAACAGCATAACTCGATCTTTGATTTGACGATCACCAAGAAGTAGCGATCACAGATTTACAATAACTGTCTATTATCCATAACGTTCTAACGTTAGACCGAATTCACTCTTATGTAAACGACATTACGTTGATTGTTGGTTGCCTCGCTTCAAGGTAGCATCGATCACCAAGAAGCAGCGATCACAGTTCGCAGCGATACGTAGACATCTTTATAGATTAACGCTTTACATTGACGGTCATGTAATGCAGTTTTAATAACCGTATAGAATGTAACGCGTAATGTAGAGCGTTTAAATAATGTAGATCGCAAGCAATGCAATCTGTCATGTGTGAATGAAATAAAAACAGGATTTCAGTATTTTGGCAACACCATCTATACTGACTTACGGGGATTCCCCGTATTTTATTTTGTGCTTGGATTATCTTTGACTTTATAATCAGAATGTCTTCTATTACATATATATATTGAGTTCAGTATTGTTTATTACGTCCCTTTAAGAAAGTCCGTGAAGCTTTGACAATTCAAAGAAAGTTTTATTCGTGGATCTTCAGTTGTTTGGTTTTTTTTATGTCAAATATTTTTTGTTTTTTTTTTTTTAAACGAGCCCTCTTTTTAGGATACAAGTCCGTGAAGCTTTGACAATTCAAAGAAAGTTTTATTCGTGGATCTTCAGTTGTTTGGTTTTTTTTATGTCAAATATTTTTTGTTTTTTTTTTTTTAAACGAGCCCTCTTTTTAGGATACAAGTCCAGTGTTGCTAGGGACAAAGTTTCGACGGGTCGGAAAACTTTTTAAAGGCCCTAAATTAAAAAAAATTAATTAATTGCTGAAATATGCAAAAATATATGCGCGGAGGGACGGGAGGGTGTATGTAAGGGCGTAATATCAAATTTCGGGTCCTGAGGTGGACTAATAATTAAGATTGTTACACATAATGTTTTTTATATATTTTTTGTCCCAATATAGATTTTATTTAACTACTTTTAAAATTTAATTAATTCAATATAATACTTTGTGTCTATTATGATCAAAATTAACTTCTAATTTGGTTAACGCGACGCCCCGAGTAAGAGTATGAATATTCTCGTTAGGGGGTAAATCGGATCGTCACTTCACGTGGGACGCGTGCCCGCTGTACCACAACGTGACGGGCGCGTGGTGCGTGGCGGCGGGCGAGGAGCGCTCCGCCGCCTCCACCACGCGCCGGCGCGCGCTGCACGCGCTGCAGCAGCGCCCGCGCGCGATGCCCACCATAGAGCAGCGCGCGTACCAGCTGAAAGTCAAGGTGAAATACTTTTTATGTCAAGGGAAAAGTAATGTAAGCTTCTAAATTATAAACAAGTAAATGTTGTGTCTTTTTTAGCCTTAAAAAAATATAATCGCTAAACATGTTGCTACTTATAATGTATAGAGATATTCGGCATATTTTTCACGATTCGTTTTCGGCCGAATTATTCGGTTTTGGTGCTGAATATATTCGGTTCGAGTAGGTATTTATATTTTCTTGGCTACATAAAAGACAAAACTTCTTATTTGAGATTTATGTTTCATTACAAGTCAAAGAAATCTTACGAATAATATGTTTAATTGAACTTCGTAGCAATATTTGTTTTTATTTTTTTTTACGCGGTAAAACGGTGAAATGCTACACCGCATAGTTCGGCTGAATATCTGTACAAGTATTTGGTATTCGGTTATTCGGTGAAACCACTATTTGACGCATCTCTAATAAATAAGTATTTAGTACACTTATTTTCTGTCTTTGGGGTTCCTGACTCAATTTGTAAAACAGGAACACTATTACTAAGACTTCGATGTCTATCTGTCTGTCACCAGACTGTTTTATTGATATGTAATTCTATTAATAGAGACAACGTCTTGATTATTTATTTATTTTTCTCTCGATTATTTAGTTAGCAATATTATCTGCAGATTTTTTTTTGTCAGGACATGCGTTCGAAATGGAAAGGTAGCCAAGAACTTCGTGAGAAACTAGCCGCCTCAGGAGGAGAGGAGACTTCTGAAGACAGGGAGCCGATTTTAGACGGTTTTGCGCCTGATTATGACTTGAGACTGTTCAGAGAAGCGCAGGCGTTGGCCGCTATCAAGATCGAGGAGGAATTGGGAGATATCCACACAGATAAAGGAACTAGGTGAGTATTGGATGACATCATTCCTACCTTGTTTTTTTTTTTAATGAGAAAAATTATATTGCCGCATAGTACTTTCTGAGCAATGCCCTTTGCATTATAAATATACGCACCTTATGGCGTCATAAGATACAGAACAGAGAGCATTTGATATGGAAAAGCGGTAAAAAATCTCGCAAAGACCATCAACTACGGCTTTAAGTTCATTTTACTTACAAGGAGTCAGAAGACGTGCAGTGCCAATTACGGGAGAGAGCAAGCTTTCACTTCCTAAAAAAAAAGAAAAAAAAATACTAAAATGTCACTACCAGAGTAAAGCATTACCACTAAGTAAAGTATTTGAGGAAATTATTAACGATTGTCTTGCGCAGTTTCCAGTAAATAAATTACTTCATAAAAATCACTTTTTATTTTTACTTTTCTTTTTGTTTTTTTACGACATATCTGTGATGCCTGTGAGAGTAATTATATCGGCATTTTTTTCTTGCTATTCGCCAAAACCATTCGACTGCTTTAGTCATGAAACATTAAAGTAATATGGTCTGTCAAACGGTTCACTAAATCTAATAAACTCTTATCGCATGGCCTCTTTTTGTTGGGTACTACTACTAATTACATTAAGATATTTTTGTATTACAAAGAGAGCTATACGCGATATATAAAATTTACGGTCTAGAGGATCCCTGTTGCATCTCACATTACATCTATGAAAACATTGTGTACGTAAGAAAACGCTATGATTGGTAGACGATAAACGTTATGATGGTGATACTAAAAAAATTGTTTCCTATGACGTTAAACACTCACTTGGTGGCCTGCACTGCAAGGTCTAATAACTCCTATGGAAGCTCCGGGGAGGGCGGAGCACGTGTAGAGTAATAGGTGGTTATTGTTATAAACATTTTTTCCCGCTAAGCACGTGTATTTGCTATTAAGTGATATTCACCATCATCATCATCATCATCACCATCACCAGCCGGAAGACGTCCACTGCTGAACATAGGCCTCCCCCTTTGAACGCCACGACGGACGACATTGCGCCAGCTGCATCCAGCGGCCGCCCGCGACTCGGACGATGTCGTCCGTCCATCTAGTCGGGGGTCGACCCACGCTGCGTCTTCCGGTTCGTGGTCTCCACTCGAGAATCTTTCGTCCCCATCGGTTATCGGTTCGTCGAGCGATGTGGCCTGCCCACTGCCACTTCAGCTTACAAACTTTGCGAGCTATGTCGGTCACTCTAGTTCTTTGGCGAATATCCACGTTTCGGATCCTATCGCGCAAAGAAACCCCTAACATAGCTCTCTCCATGCCTCGCTGAGCGACTCTGAGCTTCTCTAAGAGGCCAGTAGTTAAGGACCACGTTTCAGTGCCATAGGTCATCACTGGCAACACACACTGGTTATACACCTTCGTCTTTAGGCACTGTGGTAATTTGTGATATTCAGATATTTGAAAACTTTAGGAATGAAATGTCACAAGCGGTAGATGTAAGGATTCGTATCAAACAGTCGGTATATGGTCCCCAGATTCGTAGTGATGGGCAAGTACATGATGGAAGTATGGTACCAGTCGCCGTACCCCGGGGACGCGTGCCGCGTGCCGCGACTGTTCGTGTGCGAGTACTGCCTCAACCATCACACCTCCGCCACCGGCGCGCACCGCCACCGCGCCAAGTGTGTGTGGAGGCATCCGCCCGGGGACGAGGTCAGTACACATACATGTGTCTGGCGATGAGGTCAGTATACGTATAACGCCTGGGGACGAGGTCAGTACACATACATGTGCCTGGCGATGAGGTCAGTACACATACATGTGCCTGGGGATGAGGTCACTATACGTATGAACACCTGGGGACGAGGTCAAAACACATACATGTGCCTGAGGATGAGGTCAGTATACATACATGGGCCTGGGGATGAGGTCAGTATACATATAAACGCCTGGGGACGAGGTCAGTACACATACAAGTGCCTGGCGATGAGATCAGTATACATTTGAGCGCCTGGGGACGACGTCAGTACACATATAAGTACCCGAAGACGAGGTCAATATACATACAAGTGTCCGGGAATGATGTCATAGGTCAGTATATAAATAAATAAATATTGAAAAACATCACATACATTGCTCAAATTCCAAGATGAGTAGGCAACACAACACCCAGACCCGAGATAATATAGAAAAAAAAACATTTTCTACATTGACCCGACTGGGAATCGAGCCGGGGACCTCAGAGATGGCGACACCTTGAAACAGGCATTCGTACTACTCTGCTACGGAAGTTGTCAACATATACGGCAGATGACCCGTATTTGTTGACAACTTCCGTAGCAGAGTAGTACATATAGGTTTTGGCAATTTTATAAGTTAAGAGGAAGTGAACTTTCATCGAAGCAATTAATAGCATTAGTTTTGGCATAATAAAACTTATTGAAGACTATATACGGTTAAGTAATAGATTTGCTTGTGCGTTGATAAAAACGCCTTTAAATCCCAAATATTCAAAAAGCGATCAGCGGCCAAAACTGGGTCTTCTGTCCTACACATGTGCCCAGAGACATCACATCCCAGTTTATACATACCTATGCCTGGGAACGAAGTCAAGAGTATTAGTTTTTTAAATAATTTTTTTTAGCTAGCCTCTTTTTTCACTTTTCCTGTTTCTCTTACCTTTCACGCGCATTTTTAATTATTATTCGGTGAACAGGTGTACAGAAAAGATAATCTTAGTGTTTGGCAAGTGGACGGTCGCAAGCACAAGCAATATTGTCAGCAGCTGTGTCTACTGGCGAAGTTCTTCTTGGACCACAAAACTCTGTACTACGATGTTGAGCCGTTCCTGTTCTACGTGATGACCTGTGCTGACGAGGAGGGATGTCACGTCGTAGGATATTTCAGTAAAGTAAGCTTAAAGTTTTATCATCATATCTGTAGGGGATTAATGCGGATTGAAGGGTATTAACGACTGTAAAAGCCGGGTCTCGAGATGAGCTTGACATGATAATTTTCTGGTCACCCATCCCGTGACCCACCTTTGCGAAAGTTGTTTAACAACAACGATTGCGGGCCGCGGCGCTTGTCCATTACACCACCGAGTTACTTAAAATTATATTTAAACAAAAAGGGAAAGATACACGCTATATACCACGCTTGTTGTGGCGGATTTCGTCCTTTCAGACACGTCATTCATCACCCTAAGTTTGTAAGAAATTGGAATATCTCTGGATCTCTGGTCTCATTTAAAATTCCGATTTTTTTCGTTTATTTATTGCTTTGAATTAGTTTCTGTACCTATTTTTATACAAATTTAGTAAGTTATATTAACTTAGGTAAGATTCTTATCTTCCAAGAATTTCGAGACACTAACAGCTTTTATTTAAAAGAAATTGATTCAACTGATTTTTAAAAGCTTTTATACTAATTTGGCAAAATATGATTTTAAATTTTAATTAGTATTGAATGGGGGGGGGGGGGGGATTAAGCTGCGAGGGCTGTTTCTTGATTATAGATATGTTTCAACTGCCTCAGAGCATATATAAATGATGACAGCTTATTAGATAATATTTGAATATGAGGTTTCTAACTAATATTTCTATCGATCTCTATTCCTAGCATTGTGGCTGAATCTACAGTTCATAACTTTTTTTTAAAATTTATAGTCAATCTCTAAAACCTTCCATTTTTGGTAGGGTTTGAATTGTTTCGAATTGATTTTTTTTTTTTATATTTCATTGTAATTTATTATGATGAAGCCATTCTGTAATATAATCTAATACTTTATCCAATTATTTCTCAAAGAGTCTGTATTTTTAAAAGATATGATGACGAAGACATCATCATCAACAAAGAGAACACAGTCTGATGAGATTGATTGGGAAAGGTCATTTATATAGACCAAAAACAGAATGCATCCCAGTACATTTCCTTGGGGAATAGATATTGTGCGCTGTTCTAGAGATAAAATCGAAAACATTTAAATGCGTGTCCCCTCACTCCGAGTCTATGAAGTTTATAGAGTAGAATTTTGTAATTGACTCTCGTACGCTTTGCTCATATCGAGCTGGAGATCGGTTGCATATTCCTTATTATTTACTGATCGCATTATTTTTTCCATATATCTATACAACGCCAAAATTGTACGACTTACGTCGTATTTCTACGGAACCTATATTGATTATCGTTCAAAATTTTTTAACTTTTCAAAATTATCAGTCTTTTTGATATTACTCTATTTTTGCTGACGTTGGCATTAACGCAATGGAATGGTAATTATTTTAGACGGTTTTATCTCATTTTTATAGATACGTTTGACTAAAAATATTTTTAAGAAATCAGGGAAGTAATTTTTCTGAAATAACTGTAACTTTTCTGAAATAACTGGTTTATCAATAATGTAAATAGGTGTGTTAGTTCGTCTGCGCAGTTCTTAATTAAGCATGGAGGAAGATCATTATTACTAGAATTAGTTTTATTTTTTAGTTTACTTATTATTTATTTATTTAAGAAAACCAACAGCTGAAACATGGTTGAGATAATTAGACAGATGTAACTTAAATTAAGCCAATAACAGGTTTCCATAGATATTAACAATATCATCAAAAATAAATATTAATTTAATGAATTTTCCTTAGTTAATTGTCTGGATTTTTATCACTCAATTTGATTTGAGCGTTACTAACCATATTTCCTGAAGTTTACAAACTAGCAAAACTATAGGTGTATCAAAAGCTGATGGTACAACATAAAAAAAAAACAAAAGACAACAGTCACGATTTTCATATGGTAATATGAATTATCTAGTGTTGATAATTGCGAAAATAATCATTTATTTTGTGAAATGCCCAAAAACCATTGATATCTGTTATATTGTTTTTTAATGTTTATAGCAAAATTTCTAAAAAGAAGCTGAAGATCAACTAAATTTTTTGATTTGTAAAGTGAGTTTATGAATTTACTGGTAACTAGCAATGACTAGTCTTGATACTTTTTTTTTTATAATTAACTCGTTAATAATTAATACTTCAATAAAACGAATTTAGTGGAAGAGAAGATGTGAAGACATTATTCTACACCGGGTAAAAATAGGAACCATGAAAATACGAAAATAAACTAAAGCAGATTTGATTTCGATGTGTAAGCATAACAGCAGTTATTTATAAAAGATTATTTTATTTGCTCGTGTTAGATTCCGAATCAGGTAAATTATTGTTGAGTTTTTCTATGCCGAAAGCTGTCCCGTTATTATTAGATGTTGGTAATATAGAGTGCACAGGTGTATGTTTGTACACTATTTTATGTCTCACCCAGATGGCTAATCTATGTCAAAATTTGCCCATATAGGAATATGGTCAGGAGTACGTTCAATATTATAAGGCAGTTATTGAAAAGTGTTTCTTTTATTAAAATATTACAAGTATCAAGACGTCTTTATCCTTTTTTTCTAATGTTGCTTTCTACGAATTAAAATTTTCCGAAATGCCATGCCAATGCCATACATCACACATTTTTGCCTAAGATAGCATTTGAAAAAGAACTTTAAAAATAATCTTGTCATTTTTTCGGCTATGTTTTACTGAATTAAGTACTTATAAAAAAAAGATAGGCATGTTGATTTAATTTATAAAATAATTGTCGGCTGTCGACTGTTTATGTGAATTATATTTAAAACAGTTTAGTAGTTCTTACATTTTCGATAAAACGAAATTATTTTCCGGTAATTTATTTCGATGTTCGAACTCATTAGAAGGTACCGAAACTTAGCTGAAAATTGGTAATTTTTTTTTCAAATTTGGTACATGCTGCATACCCTACCCCAAATCTCTGTGTACGCCGCTGCATATGATAAGCTTAAACACTAAAACAAGTATTTAATTAAAATATTTTTATTTTAAATATTTAGTAGGTCTATTCTGAGTTTCATCGAAAACAAATGCCTTAATAATTGGAAATTACTGTACATCAGGATTGCCACGTTAAATGTCATTTAATTATTGTCAATAGTAGCCCTCTTAATGAATAGTTTAAAAATCCGTCCTTACACATTTACGTTAACCCACCCACCTCCTGTTACTACCATTGAGTGCGTCCCGTCAGCTGTGGGGTCAATGACCGGGGTGGCTCGCCCTCCACAAGACCTCCCTGCTGTCGCCGTTACAATTTTACGAAATACATGTTGTTATGGTGTTTTTAAATACGCACTTATTATACTTATTATTTACACGGTTTTGTACAAAAAACGTTACTTGTTATTTATTTTCAAATACTTGTCACTTTTTTGCAATAGTTGTCTGACATCAATAATATGTAACGTTATTTGAAAATATCCTTTATCCCTTTATCCAAATGTTAAAATCAGAGTTAAGTATTTAATTATAGCAAAAAGGAATAGTATAATAAAAAAGAAAAAAAAATAAGCACTACGTTGGTTCCATGTCATACATAACAAACACTTGATTTACATAATTTCATGTTGCGTAGGTAAGTGTCGGAAGTTTACTTGAAAGGCTTTGTAGTTAAACCACATTTAATGTCGAGTCATCATTATTTGTATCGTGCCGTCGCTTAAGCAATGTTATAATGTTACATTTGATCAACATTTTTAATGCTTAAATGCTTTAAGCACAGTCTCTGCCACTTCGGGTGGTGTGGGACTTTCCTCCGTCACTAGAGGCTTACCAAAACCCCGTTTTTGGATAACGCAGGGGAAATGCACCTTAAGTCTTAAACCAGGGCTCTCCAACCACACTGCCCTGATAAGGACAGTTTGTGGAAGTCCTATATGGTATAACCCGCTACGGTTCACCTCACGCGGATAGGAATAACCCGGTATCCTGCAAGGGAAGCCGTGGTCGAGTCGCTTAACTGGTACACCTGAAGGCCTTTTCTGTTTGTCTGCAATCGAAATAAACAATACCTGGTACTTTGGTTAAATGACCGAAAATTTCTTTTGACAAAGTTGCTTGGCGATCGATCACCGGTGCGAGGGGCAGTGTACGCCACCGAGCTACTCGTTTGTCTTAATTTTTATATATTTCTTGTCATTTACTCTACTCATTGATAACATCTTTCATAATTTACTTTACTCATTGGTATACATTTAAAAGCAATTTTTATTAATGGATTCGAATTACAGCACATTTACCCTTGGTCACGATTTCCTTTATTAAAAAAGACAGCTACAAAATACAAACGATCTTAAAGCAAAACTACAAATGACATGTTAAATAGTACGCCTCGCTACGATTACTATTACTATTATGCGCCGCGCCGTAGCGTGGCCGTAGCACTGTAGATACTCAACGCGAGGCCTACGTGACGTGCTACGTCGTAGTAAACTCAAGTGCCTTGAGCAGAATGAGCTTACGTTTTGCCGTCTCGCGCTTTTTTAGTGCTTTAGGCGTATTCATTTAGCATTTTATAAGATTGAATACTGAACCTCTAATGGTCCCAAAAGGTCAGTTAAGAATATTAAAATTAACAAAAAAATCGATAAAACCGTTGCAAAATAGTTTTTATTAAATTATACAATATTTTCATTACGTTTTTCGCTCCGTGATTTTTATACTTTGTTGTAATATCGATATAAATACATAATCAGAGAAGTCGCGTTTAGTAATTAGATATCAGGTATCAAATTTCTGCGAATTCAACTTTAAATAACATATAATATATCACTTTCCTTTCATTCTTACCTTTAAAAAAAACGTGTAACATTTGAAGTAAACTTTAGTTCTTACGATGTACTCAAACTCTTCTAAAAGGATTTTCCTTCGGCAATGAATGCAGTTATAATGATTCTGGTTATAAATAAGTACATTAAAGTTATGTGTAAATAAGTTTAAGCATAACGATGTTGCAAAAGAATACATTCTTACTGTACGTAAATTGCACTCGTGCGAAAAG